ACGTTGAGAGTTCTACTTCCACGAGGTCCTCGTCTTGCAGTGACTCGGATATGCAATTACTTCAACAGACTGTGTCAACACATCATTGATCCAGAGAAGATTATTAAACTAGAAGCAGAAATTGTGGAGACAATGTGTCAGCTAGAGAGATACTTTCCTCCTTCTCTGTTTGATATCATGTTTCATCTTCCACTCCATCTAGCAAGAGAAGCACGCTTGGGTGGCCCTGTACACTTCAGGTGGATGTATCCCTTTGAGAGGTAATCTTCCACTGCATCTAGCAAGACAAATCACTGCTACTATATGTACATGGTACTGACGATATCTTATATTTTCATTCGTACGTATATGAAGACATTAAAAGCTTATGTCAAGAATTTTGTAAGACCAGAAGCTTGTATGGCCGAGGGTTATTTGGCTGGTGAATGCTTTGCATTTTGTATGGAGTTCCTGCAGAAATCTGTTCCAGTTGAAGAAGCAATGACAAGAAACGAAGATGACAACTCAGAATGTTCTTGAAGGCCAAACGATGCATAAAGCAACAGAAGTGAGTCTTACTGACAAAGAGAGAAATTTTTCTCACCGGTATATCCTCATGAATACTGCAGTGATCGGCCCTTATGCTCAGTAAGTTAAAACTCCAAAGATTGGTTCATGTGTTTTTATCTTCTCTCACACTAACTTAATCAATATACATGATGCATTTAGAAGAACTTCAAAATACGGATGTAAGATGTGCAAAAAATGAAACCATCTTATGGCAGTATCATACAGAAAGGTTGTCACAGTGGATTAAAGAGAAGGTATGATTAATTTTTTTTTTTGTATTAATAATTCTGTATGTGTATGTTCTGATATGTTTCCTTTTTAGATACCAAATAACTCCAAGGACCATTCGCAAAGGCTGAGATGGCTTGCTTTTGGACCAAGAAATATTGCTCACACCTACATGGAATTTGTAGTTAATGGCTATCGATACCATATAGACAATATGCAGAGGAAGACACAGAACAGTGGAGTAGCATATGAAACCTTTTCGATGTGCAAAGCTAGTGCCAAAGATTCGAGGCAACAGGCTAACATATTAACATACTATGGCATGATAAAGGAGATCATTTTACTTGAATATCACATGTTTCAAGTGCCTCTGTTTAAGTGCAGTTGGGCTCATAAAGGTAGATGACTTAAAGAGGAAGACGGTTTCACACTTGTGAATCTGCATATGAACCAATCAACATTTGAAAACGATCCATTATGCCTTCGCAAGCTAAACAAGTGTTCTATTCTAGAGAGGAACACAGCTCTCCTTGGTATGTAGTGATGAGAGCACCACCACGAGGGTATCATGAGTTAGAGACAGAAGAAGAGAGTTGTTCTGAAACGTGATCAAATTAAGTTATTTTAGCAAGCCGGAGCTTTCTCTCTCTAGTTGTTCTTGTTGTTCTTTTTTGAGAGAGAAAGTGACCAAAACCACTAAATTTTGTAACTGAGAGAGGTGAGTCTAGGAGGCTATTTCTGTGAGCTTATCCTTTCTTTAGGATACCTTGTGGTGTGCTAGGAGATGTGGTAAGACCTTATATGATTCTTTTGTAGGTTCCATTTCTCTTTTATCCTTCAGCCTTATTTTGATCGGTTTTGGTATAACCCTTAGGTCTTGAGCTTTTGGAGCTGTCCTGCGGTTTGTGAAGACATAGGTGGGTTCCCTGTGTGGGTGTTTATGTTGTGTATTATTAACCATGTGTGGATGCAGGTTCTTAAGCTAGAACTGCTTTTTCAGTTTATGTGTGTGTGTATGGGAGTTGGTAGTCCCCATACTTATGTGTTTAATTATGTTGCATGATATATTCATAATTATGTGATTGTGTGATTGTGTAGTTAAGATTGATTGCATGCTTGTTTATATGGTAGCTAAACCGCATTGTTGTGTAGCATTGTTATAGCATTGTTATCTAGGCTTGTTAGAGAATAGCATGCATTGTGATTAGGATTGTGTATCATGTGTGTCTAGATAATGCGGATTGGTAGTATGCATTGATATTGTTAGGTTGCTAGATTGCTTGCTAGCATTGTGTGATTAAGTTGTTAGTTACATACATGCATTGCTAGTTTTGTAGTTGCATATGTATAGTGTTTTGCTGCATGGAGATTTGAGTGAGAATCTCTCTCATGCTGGTTCATATGCATTGCATGTAGTGTAATTGGGGTTGCATAGAGATTTGAGTTAGACTCTCTCTTATGTCAGATAGAGTCTAGGTGTGTCACTCTCTTGAGCCGTGTTGTGTTTCTAGTCTAGACCGGGTCCACATGGAGGTTAGAGGTGGAACTCCCTCATGCTGGTTGTATTTTGTACTTTGGTCTAGACTAGTGTGTGTGTGTGTGTCCTGCATTTGGTATATATGCTCATTGCATGGAGGTTAGAGGCGGAGCTCCCTCATGCTGGTTTGTTTTGTGTTGCATCTAGACTAGTGCTTGTGTGTGTGCGGCTATCCCGGTTGTATATCTTTTGGGTGGGACTCTCCGGTGATATGCTTGGACCATGGAGTTAGATTGGGAGAAGCCTAATTCTCCAATGGTGGAGTGACCTACCACCATGGCTTGTCACGTGAAGTGGGTCGCACCCATGGACCAGTGCTGCGTGACGACGTGGCCCGGTGGTATATCCCTTTGGTGGGACTCTCCAGATATGATGTTTTCCGATCATGTGATTTTTTTTGTTTGTGGTCAGGAGTGTTCAAGGAAGGAGGGTTAAGGCTCCGTGTGGGAATGGATCCTAGGATGTTTAGCTGGTGCTCGCATCTGAAATGTGTACTCGAGTATTTTTTTGTATTTTGTCTTTGAGTTTGGATTCTGCTTCTTCCATGAACTAATTCTATTACGGCATGAGGTAATTTTTTGATGAAAATTTCTCATTGGAATTTAATCAAATTGTCTCAATCCCGAGATTACCGCTTCCTTGAACCCCGATTTACCGATCCATATTTTGTCGAATCTGAAATTCTTTCTTGTCCTCCTAATACAAGATTGAATCTGTGCTAAGACAGGGTATGTGGTCCGATCCCCATAATTGTAGGAATTCTACAACTGAATGAGTAAAAAAAAACCATATCATTCTTCATGTGCCACTGCTCTATCAAGTTTACATTTAACTTTTCCAGACAGCCTTTTTCCCACCCATGAGAATGGGTTCCCTTTGTATGGGAAGTCAAGCATTCTACAATTTTCTAACATGGTTCGGATTGAGAGAAAAGAGCTCTCTAAACAACGTCTTCCTCCCCTTTTCTCATGGTTTCCCGTGATTTCATTAAAATTTCCAACCATAAACCATGCTTTACTACGTGTTGTATTCATACGTGACAATCGTTCCCAAACTTGGTCTCTATGTCTAACAACAGGGTCACCGTACACAAACGTCATATAAATCGCATGTCCTTCAAGTCGGGTTTCAATATCAATCATGTGCACATCTACATACAAGATGGTAACCGAAGGATCATCCATATACAAAAGTGCTAGGCCACCGCTTCGTCCACGCGGCTCGGCGGTATAAACATGACCATATCCATAAGAAACTTGTAGATTTTTCATAACATGACGACTGTTTTTTATTTCTGATAAGAATAAAATTTTTGGCTGAAAACAGTGATATAACTCATCAAGATGTTCTTTCGTCAAATTAGCTCCCACGCCTTGACAATTCCATACCACCACATTAATTTTACAAATTAATGATTTCTAGAAATATGCAGTTATACTGGACACATCAACATTAGTTAAAAAACTAGTGTAATGAACCAAAAGCACTGTTTGTTGACGCTGAAGATCATTGGCAAAAGCACACGTAGAGAAAAACAAAATGGAACTTTTTAAATTTTCTTGGGTAGATCCGGCAGTATGGTCTTGCGAAATAGAGGAATTGAAATTATCTGGCACTCGTAGAAGTATTTATAGCTTTTGGAGCCACCGCCTTTATCGTGAATTTTTTTGTTATCAAGAAGTAGATGTATATTGGATTTGTCAACACCTGATGTGATAAACCAGAACAAACTACTTTGAATGTTGGAGATTTCTTTCTGCCATCTCTTTCAAGAGGTGTTTTTTCCTTATTAAGTTTACTCCACCGGATATTGCAGCCGTCTTGGAGTTGAAGTTTTTGATAAGTCTTCGTGATTTAGTTGAGGAGTTGAGCACCCACACTCATAACTCTTCTTCAGATCTGACCAGATGCACTTGCTGGTGACATGGAGAGACCTTTGCGGCAGGTAGAGAGAGAGTAGAGCAAGCGTCTTTCCAGAACTCGAACAACAGAGAGTGGAAGAGGCGGAGATTTGTTGGAACACTGCGGCAGAGGCAGAGATCCATTCACGCTTGGGACATCTGAGAGAAGTGATGTCAAGATCTATTTCAAAAAAGGGAGTTTTTAACGAGATGGAAGCTCCGAAAGTGATGGAGCAAGAGGCTGAGAGATTCAAAATTTGAATCTATGGAGGAAAGTAGATCGGGAAAGATACATGGGGAAGAGTGCATGGGAGCTTCATGTCTTTTGCTCGGGCGTTATCTGTTTTCTCCCTTTGTTTTTACACGGATGTATATACATGCGCACACATTAAGACTGAGAAGATGCCCTTGAGGATGTATATCTTTGTGTGCATTATTTGGCTTTCTCTCCTCCACAAAAGTTGTTTTGCGTTCATCTTTTGCGATCTAAAAAAAACGTTGGTTTATATTTGTGCCAAAATAACATCACCTTTGAAAATCATTTTAGGCGTACCATTAATTAACTATAACTGTTGACTAACGATATGATTAAATTGATATAATCAAGAAAAATTGTGATTAAAATGACTTGTCAACAAAAATTGAGTAATTTTTAGTTTACGAAAAAATTTGTGTTTAAAATGACTTATTAACAAAAATTGAATTTTTTTTTTTTGCTTACGACAAAATTAGTGTTTTATTTCAACCAATTTTGAAAAACAATAATTTAAAGGACATTTTTCCGGTATAAAACCATTCAAGCATTTTTGTTATTTTAGAAATGACATTTTGTTTATCTTGTTGTTTTGTTGTTTTGTTGTTTTGACCAAAAATGAAATGACATTTTGTTCCTCTTGTACTCCTTTCTCTCAACAGTACACAATAGAAACCCTAAAATCCAACAATTGCACAACAAATGAGCTGCCACAGATGGAAATACCCGATCGTAGCTGCAAAGGAGTTCTCATGTCAAAAAGATGGAAAAGCATAACTTAGTTTGAAACCAAAGAGTGTAGTTTCAGTAGCTGATCAGTCTTGGTTTAAGGCTTTGCTTTTTGAAGAACAATACACCAATTGGACTTGTCGTAAAATTTATCAACTATCACTGCATTGTCTACTCCAGATGCCAACCTGTGAAAGATCATTACCACATGTTAATCTATTAACAAACAAGACTAATTATAATCAATATAATCTACGGTAAAGCAAATTACTCCATAAAACACGCATACCTTTCAAGTTCGCCTTCACTGAAGACATGATAGTACCTATTGTACACAACAGCTCCTTTTCTATCGTCTTTCTTAGCAAGCCCACTTGCAAGTGCAGACGCAGATGCACCACTTACTTCAGCACGGTGGTAAGGTAAATGCCATGGAACAAAGTACTCTTGCTGATTCATCTTCATAGCCTCCAATAACTCCTCAACAGAGTTCTCATCCTTCTGCTCTCCCAAGCCATCTTTGGTCTCTGGGATGCTCTCAGACTTCTGCTCTCTTGTGCTCTCCTCGGTTTCGGGAATGCTCTCAAGACCAAATGACGGGCTGATCTCAGTCTTTTTCTCCTTTATACTCACCTCAGTCTCTGGAATGCTTTCAAGACCAAAGAATGGGTTGTTCCTCACTCGAGGGCTGTTTATTGGACTACCTGGTCCGACCCATTCTTCAACATACTTTGGAGACAAAGGTGTCCATTTAGTAAGCAACGATTTGTCTTCTTGTTCTGCAGCCCAAACGGTTATGAGAACAAAACCCCCTGGCTTAACCACCCGAACCAGTTCCTCGATGGCACTCTTCCTTCTGTTCTCTGTGCTTAAGTGATGCAACACAGCAATAGAGATTGCAGCATCGCCAAATCCCTCCCTGTAAGGAAGATTCACAGCGTCTGCAACAAGAACTTCTTGGCCTTTATCCGAACAGATTTTGATCAGTGGGTTGCTTATGTCACAGCCTATGAAAAAACAACTCGGGTTTAACCCCAAATACTTGCCGTTACCGCAACCTGCATCAAGAACTACAGATCCAGAAGGCAGTGAGTCAAGAAAGGCAGCGACTTTAGGCCATTTAGCAAACCTTGTGGAGCTAAAATGTGGAGCAATGGCATCGTAAACTTTATGAACATACTTTTTCTCGATCTCAGGCGTTGATTTAACGCTCAAGGGCGAAGATATCTCGTTTTCTCTTGATTGAAGAATCTCAACTTCTTCATCTTCATGAGTTGACTTAGAAGTAGCTTTCACTTTGACGTCTCGCATTTTTTTACTTGTGGCTATCGAATTAAACCGAGAAAACAGAGGATGCCTAGCTATTGACGAAAATCTAATACTTCTCAGAACATTCAATAGCATGAGCTTAAGCCGCCATAAATCTGCAGATTAATGTTTGAGAACAATTTCAATGCATCAAAAACCTGAGAAACTGCTAAACCTAGATACAAGATCCCAGTAATTAGCAACTTATATGATCGGAAGACTGAAATCATCGCAAAGTTGTAATTAATAAATCGAAAAATCAGAGAAGCTTACAGAAAGGCGAGCAGAGGAGATGGTGACTGGATTGGAAGAGTCGGTTCGCGATCTAAAACGGAAGGTAGATTCAGGGTTTTTGGAAGGGAAGTGCCTCAAATTTTAGATCAGTACTTCCTTTTTAGTAGGTTCACGATATTTGGCCACTTTATTTTAACTTACAATTTTACACCCCCAATGCCTATGGTATCATTTTTTTTTTTGTGAGCAACATAACGGATTCATTTAGACTCTCAAAACCAAACTGGTAGCTTCGAATCCATATGGACCAGAAAAGTCGATTGCTTTCTTGCACTACGTGCAAGCCTGTCCGCCTTTAAATTATGCGTCCTTGGTACATGGAGAAGCTCTAAACTTTGGAAACTTCTTGGCAAAAGTGCTATATCTTCCAAATAACTTGCAAATGCTGGCTATTCTTCAGGTTCCGAAACCATATTCACCAACTGAGAACAATCCGTCGCAAAAGTTACAATGTACTGCCATAGATTTCGCATGCATTCTATAGCTCAAATAAGAGCCTATATTTATGCATGGAGTGGCGATTGACTCACCCTAGTATTTTGCGCCCCCATCAACCCATCGAAGCCTACCAGGGTGGTAAACCACCCCTGCCCTGAAAAATCGTCTTGTTGTTTCCAAGATCCGTCCGTGAAACACCACCGACCCGATATAACCGGGGCCGAATTTACCTGAGGTATCCAACAGTGCAGAGTTGTATGTGCTTCATTCCACAGGGCAGATTCGGTTTCTGCCAGTTTTAGTGTATCCCTCGGATCACTATCGAGATTACTAAACACCTTATTGTTCCTTGTCTTCCAGATATACCACAAAATCCAAGCAAAGTGATGGTCATCCATATCCGGTTTAGCCCTCCAAAACAGGTGATCCATATTAGCAAACAAGGATTGCTTCGGAAAAACCGCCTGATTTGAAAGAATCCTTGAAAGAGCTCAAACCTGAATTGATGGTGCGCATTCAAAAAACACATGACAGATGGACTCCTCTGGTTCTCCACAACGTGCACAGCATATATCTCCTTGTATTCCCCTAGCAATTAAATTTTCCTAAACCGCAATACATCCCGTTACTATTTGCAACAAAAAGTGCTTCATCTTGGGTGAACAACGTACTTTCCAGCAATGCGCTTTCAATGGAGTAACCGTGGGACCATACTCAATTTGTAACCCCTGCTTATATGGGTACACCCGCTCCACCTGATACCCAGTTTGAACCGTATATTTCCCATTTTTTGTAAAGTGCCATCCGACCCTATCCTCCAACCAGTTTCGGCTAAGAGGTATACTCTCAATAAGCTTTGCATCCAGGGGATCCACTAAAGTCCGAATAACCTGCGAATTCCAAGTCCAGGATGCCGCATCAATGAGTGAATCTACCGTAAGATCCGGGTAAAAATCTGTAAAATTTGATTTTACTGGTCTCGGGCGAGTGGAAGGGAGCCATGGATCATATCATACCGAAATGGACGAGCCTGTTCCCACCCTTTTGATTAGTCCTTTGCAAACCAGAGATCTAGCGGAAGTCATACTACGCCACCCATAAGACGGCGAGTAAGATCTGATCGGTTCCAGGGGTGATGCATTCCTAAAATAACGACCTTTAAAAACCCGAGCAAACAACGTGTCCGGTTTCTTTATAAGTCTCCATAATTGTTTTGCCAACACTGCTGTATTAAAATCTGTGAGATCCTTAAATTCCAACCCTCCATCTTCCTTTGGAGTACAAAGTTTATCCCATGACTTCCAATGCATCCCTCTAGAGTTGCCTCCTGGACTCCACTATAATTGTGCTACTGCACTAGTCAGTTTTTTCATAACCTTTTTTGGAATACGATAACATGATCTAACATGATTTGGTAAAGCTGTCACCACTGATTTGATAATTACCTCTTTTCCCCCTTTAGAGAAAAACTTAAAAGTCCATCCATTTACTCTTTTGTTAAGACATACTTGGACAAAACCAAAAATCTGGGTTTTTGACCCCCCTAAGTTTTCTGGAATTCCCAAATATGACTCCATACCTCCTAAATTCTGGATCCCTAGAACATCCCGAAGCTCCTGCCTAGCCTCTTCACCTATTTTGTGTCCAAATTGAATCGACGATTTCTCAAAATTTATTTGCTGTCCCGATGCCACTTCGTATTCCTTTAGTATCCTGAGAATTGTCTGGCATTCATCTTTACTTGCCTTACGGAAAAAAGACTATCATCTTTAAAAAGAAGATGTGAAATCGGCGGACACGGCCTTGCCACCTTTATAATATTTACAATCAAAGCCTCCATACAAATAATAAATAAATAGGGCGATAACGGATCCCCCTGGCATAGACCTCTATGGGGAATAATATGCCCCTTGGGTTGACCATTTAAAAGAACTCGATATTGCATCGAAGAAATACATTCCATCATCAACTGTGTCTAATGACTATCAAACCCCATCTTCAAGAGAACTTTTCATATGAAAATCCATTCCACTCTATCATACACTTTAATCATATCAGTTTTAATAGCCATAAATTTCCACTGACATGACTTATTTTCCTTCAATCCATGAAACATCTCTTGAGCTATAAGAATATTATTGGATATCAACCTCCCCAGTACAAATGCCGATTGTGTTTCCGAGATGAGCGGCGGAAGACACGTCTTTAACCGCTGACATCCCACATTGCATAAACTAATATGCCTGAGTTCCGCCATCTTTGTTGGCCTTTCGATCTTGGGAATCAAGCAAATATTCGTAATATTCAGCCTAGCATCCAGTTTCCCCGTAAACAAAAAACTATTTACCATTTTCACAATATCTTTTTTTTTTTATTAAGTGCCAGACATGTTGAAAGAACAGTTTTGTCATTCCATCCGGTCCTGATGCCTTTTCCGGATGCATCATAAAAAGGGCTGCTCTTACTTCCTCCTCAGTAGCAATTCTGGTTAGTCGTCGATTTATTTGACGTGTTACAGTGGGTGTAATCCCCTATATATTAATTGAGAAACATTTGAAAAATTGTAACCTCAATTTTGTAATAATTAAAAAAAAAGCACATGCTTACGTGTCACTCAATTATGTAGTCAATTACATTCAATTGAAAAATAAGTAGGTCCACATTCGATTTCTATATGTCGCTAGATATATTTGTTGGTCAAACTATATGATATGATATTTATGATAGAAGCATTTATGATGGTCCTGCTAGATATAATTACTATTTTATTTTCTTTCCTTAAACAAAAGCTACGGAATTACCATAAATGACAAATATATATATATATGACAATTAATGTTTCTAATAATAAATATTTGATAACAATTTGTATCTCCTCCATCATTTTTCTTTAATTTTATATTATTAAAATAAATCAAACAATCAAATTAGCTATAAAATTAAACTTTAGATTTTTTTCGTATATGTTATATTTTGAAATTTAAAAAACTAAGAATAAATGACTAAAAATATTAAAATTATTATGTTAAAAATTAATGATCAATAGTTGAACATTTTTATTATAAAAAGATACACATGATTTTAAAACCATATGAGTAAAAAGTATCATTCAATAATAAAAATATATATATAGATTAAACTATATACCATATAAGATTAAATACTTATTTTAATTTCAAAAATTTCAATGAATTTTCAAGAACATTTATAAAGTATAAACGAATTAAATTTTCACATTGAAATTTTTTGTTATCAATGATTTAAATATATTAGTTCTTTTTTTTTTAATTTTCTATTTTTTTAAAGATATTAACACAATCGATAATATGGTTATTTTTGGTATATACCATACAAACCAAATGTATGTGATTTTATAAAAACCGTAAGATTTGGATATGGTTTGATTTATAATCGATTAAACTGAAATATGTAAATATGTATATCTATTTGTTACATGAGTTGAACTATAATTATGATTTGTAAATCACTTGAATCACTTGAAATATAATTAACTAACAATTTTATGCACCTGACGCTTCTTATTTTCTTCGTCTTTTTTTTTATCTTCTTTCTTTTTTTAATAAAACTAAATTGAAGTAAAAATTATAAATTTGATGGACAACAATTAGTTGAAATTCTTTACAATTTTTTTTTTTTTAATTCTTAAACAAACAAAGTTGTGTTCAATCGAAAACATATTAATTTGATGAACACTAAATATGGAAGTATTTAAAAACTTTTCTTTCATGCTTCTCTTTTGTTTTTATTTTTATTTTCAAAATTTGGAGATTTGATATTAATTCTAGATTTGATCATTTTATTAGATCATAGAGCCTTTTTTTTTGTTTTTTATTCTTTTAGTTAAATATATAATATTTTTTTTAGTAAATGACTTTTTGACAATATGACTCTAAATATGATCATATTATTTATTTTTATAATATATAATATGATTTCAAACTAAATAATGATGTATTTTGGTATAAAATTGAATAAACTGAAAACCAATATATAAACCAAATCAAACTGAAGTAAATATGGATTTAGAATAGTAGTTATATTTTAATAACCAAAATACTGAAACCCGATATCCAGATTGAACATCCTTAATCTAGATAAAACCGAACTTTTGTTTCATTTTCCAAAACATAATAAAAATAATAACCTCATCCCGCGCAAGACGCGGGTCTTATCCTAGTATCCATTAAAAAGTTATCAAACTCGGACGGATCAGTAGTCTGGAATAAATTTTTGAAATAATCCACCACAATTTTCTCTACTCCTTATTCTACCATAATCCAGTTCCCATTTTCATCATAAAGACCAACGATCCTATTTCTTGTTCGCCTTTGCTTAGTAAGAGCATGGTAAAACTTAGTATTTAAATCCCCCGATGTGTTCCACATATTCCTACTCTTCTGTTGCCAGTAATCCTCCTCATCCTTGTACGATTCCTATAATCTTCATGGGTTTTATTATCATCCATTTGAACCTCCTCCAGCACTTTTTGGAGCTCACTAATCCTTGCTTTACCATGCGGAGGATTATTCTTGTGCCAAGTAGAAATCTCGTTTAATTATTTTGAGACCACATCACCCGTAATTGTCCTTAGAGTC